ACCAATATATACAAAACAAAAGATGATAACTTCATCACTGCCACTACATGACATCACAAGGTGGAACAGAGCACTCTGAGCTTTGGAAATGTAAACAGATTAATAATAAAGGGTTACTCAACTATGTGTGAATGAAACAAAACACAATTCTAGGTTTCTGATGAGGTAACAACATTATAACATGGCTAAAAGCTCACAAGTGCTAATTTTGGACCTTTAAGCACTTCATATTTAAAAAAAATATGAAGTGCTTAAAATATGAAATATAAACCCATAACCTATTGTAAAAAATCAGTGCTGAATGGTGCTAAACTACAGTATTGAGAGACACAGCACTAATGCTATAACACTGTGTAGTTGTGCAAAATCACTGTTCAATCATCTCTCATGACATTAGCAGTCGGGCAACTTTCCTGTGGGTAATTGTGATTATTGTGATTATTAGCTTTTATTAAAGAGGGGGTTACAAAGCCGTTGGTTACCCACAAATCTGATTCTTATAGATGTTTTCATTTGACTCCTCAACTGTGGTGCTCTTACAAAATGAGCTGTAGACACTGGAAGAGAAGTTGCATCATCTCTTTCATAACCTGGATCTGTACATAAGCCAGGTAGACACATGTAACAGAAGATAGGAGGAACAGATTGAGACTTAACAAGTTTAATGGGCCCACATTTTGCTATTTTCTTATTTCTGTGTAATTTTGTTTCCTCATCACAAACATACCTGGAGTTGTGTTTTGTTTCATTCACACGTTTTACCCACAAACCCTTGATCAGTCTTTACTAAATTAAATGTAAAAGGTAGCTATTAACTTGAAAACTATTACAGGATTACTCAAACATGTGAAAACAAAACAAAACTCCATGTATGTTTTTGATGACATAACATTTTAAAGCTCTCAAGAGTAAATTTTTGCATAATATAGGACCTTTAAAACAAGATTTATTTCGTCCAGACTGCAGACTTCTTGACATATGTTTGCATCACACACAGCAGGGCATCTCAAGATTATCTCTCCTTTTGAAAACTGCTCCAGACCTCTTTCTTTTCAGACATGTTTGTGTAACATTCCTTTATACGCCTGAGCCACTTTAAGACTGAGAGATAATAATTGCCCTGCAAGCAGCTAAAAAGACTCCTCTAATTTGTATTGAACTCTAGTTCTTTACACTATCAGTGAAAGGTTTGGACTCACCCTCTGATTCAATGTTTCAATGTTTCTTTTTTCTTACTGTCTACATTTTAGATACGCACATAAAACATCAAATATATGAAGCAAGATATATATATTCTTAGTAAAGAACAATAGAAAAGGTGGGTAATTTGAGAATTTGGTTATAAAACTTTTTTTTTTTTTTTTTTCGTACATACGACACAATTCCATGCATCTTCATATATTCATATATATTTTCATATTATCTTCAGTTTGTTTATAAAATGTAGAAAGTAGCAAACATATAAATTGAATATACACATAAACATATACACTTAATGATAGGGTGAGTCCAAACTTTTGACTGGTAGTTTTTTCTTCACAAACAATTTCAATATGGAAACTTCCACAATGTTGAGGTGCACATGTTGAAACAAACCCCTATAACATCTCACCCTGATGTAACAGATAACCCCATGTTCTCTCAATCATCATATCATCTTTGCACTGTTTTTCCTTACCACCTCCTGTATAGCTGAAATCTCTACAATATCATGTATCTATCTCCTCCCTCCCTCCTCCCAACTCCCACCTGTAACTGTTCCATAACAAAGCTCTGACAACTTGTATTGAATCTAACTTATGTTTTATATTTGACCAGTGCAGTTACTGTAAGTGTAATGGAGTGAACCTGCATCACGTTGTATAAAGACTCACCAATGTGTAGAATTATAGTTGTTATTTATGGCTTGAAGTGTACAGTTTTATTGGCTCATGGCTCGACCGATTGAAAGAACAAATAAACAGCTACTTTGTGAGAGGAGAATTGATGAAAATGTCCTCAGTTCCCATTTTCTCTATTGTTACCTTTCCTTCAGTCAGAGGTGGAAAAAGAAAACTCGATTTTGTTGCTTCAAGTACAGATACTGCAGATATATCACATGAAGAAATCTACTTAAGTCAAAATATTAAAGTACCCATTTAAAATTGTACTTATAGAGTAAAAATAAAAGTATTTCACATGTTTGAGGTCTTATATGTCTTCAAATTTAGTGATTTTGATAGATATGCACTGAATTTAGTTCAGTAGAAACAACTGCTTTTATTTGTATATTTTAGTTTGCTCAAAATGTGAATAAATAAAAAAAATATATATAAAAAATACTTTCACCTTTCAGTCTGTTTATAAAATGTAGTGTAGTAGAAAGTACAGATACCTGTCCTCAAAGGTAGTGAAGTATAAGTAAAAATTATCCATTTTAAAATGTAAGAAAGTAAAGTACAGATACCTAAAATGTACATTTAAATTTACAAATTTAACTTTCGTTCCGCCACTGGCCTCAGTAAATACTTCAAAAAACAACATTTAGATTACAGTTAAGTGCGTGAAGCAATGCTGAAATGCAGGAGCACGTTTTCAATGTCTTATTTTTGACATGTGATAATCTCTTCCCAAACGCTTGTTGGTCATGCTGTTTCTATACAGTCACATCTCACACTCACTGCAGTCATTTTTATTTTTTCACAAGTCTCATTATATTTACAATTATTCACACAGCAGCTTTGAGAGCATGCTGTATGAAGTGATAAGTGACAACAATATTCTTGACCTATACTTGTCTTGTTTGAATGTAATTAAAATTGACATATGAAATGTCATTATTGACGTGACCCAATCAAACAGAGACACACTTGAGATCCGACTCAGACACCTTCACTGTGCCAATATCGCTTCTCCTATCAGTCTCTTTACAGCCTTGTTTACGCCATCTGCTTCAGAAATGGCACCACAAACACCTTTGACAAAATAAAACACTTATATTTAACACATAATTTCTCACTGCTGAACTGAAACCATGTATGACTTCACTTAGGGTTAGTAAAGTTAAACGATCCTGAAGTAATTAAAGATGCCATGTCTAACGTTCCTGGTGGAGGTTCTGCCAAATGTTTGTTTACATGGAGACCTGTTTTTGTTTGGCCTGGAATTTTCTACAACACAGCATTAAAATTATCCATTTTCAAAGAAGCAAGCAAGTGACACCTTGAGTCCAAGTCACAGCTCACATCTGTGGAGAGGCAACTACGCTGAAAAGGAGAATTTTTGAGCAATAAAAATACCTGTAATTCACTTAATGTAAGATAATGTAGATACTTTATATGGCATACTGTGGAACATTAAAGGCAAAGTAGTAACATCTCCATGGAGCCAGTAAGATGGAAGTTGCATGGTGTTACTTTAATTAACAACAGCATATCAGATATGAAATACAATTCTTTAAGTTTTGAGTTACAGATAAATAGGTGTAAAATGGTAACAGATGTTTTCCTCTAAGTCTGCTTCAGCTGTTTCAATGTCAGCTTGTCAAAACAAATCTAAACAATACAGGGTCTATATTGTGTTGTCTGTCACAGCTGAGTTCAGGGAATAAATCTGTAATTCTACATCATACACCTCTATAAGACACCAAGGGAGCGGTGAGGACATTTTAAAAAACATGATTCAGAAAATAAAAAGATGTCAAATTCCAAAAACTAAAATAAAGTTAGAAGTCTTTTCCTGGACACTATTAACCTAAAAATTAACACTTTAATTGAAATACCAAGCGCCAATCTAACTGTAACTTAAATTTCTTAACATAATGATCGAATCACATTAATTACGAAAAAGTGTTGGTTTTCACCCACTAACTCTAAGACTAAAGCTTTGATTCTTGGTTCCACCAGTGCATACTGTTGTTGTGTCTATGGGCAATATTTCATGCCCCTTTCCCTTAATGTGGTGTGTGAGCATGAGATTGGTAATGGTCACAGGAGCCGTATACACATATTCATCAGTTTGCCTTAGGACAGGTATGGCTACAAAAGTAGTGTGGAGAGTGGATGAATAATACATGACATTGAAAAGCCCATCATGTGGAAAAGCGACTGTATATACTGTATATGGTACACTAATGTAGTTCTTCTTGACACAGCAGGCTGTTATTCAAGAGCAAGGTGTTATCAGAGAAACATTTATTCATAAAATAACAATGTTAATGCATACACAAAAGCTCAAATCTTTTTTCCAAAAGCAACACAGTCATAGTAAACTCCAGTGATCACAAGTGAGAAGACCAGCAGCTCTCCAGGGCTAAACCATGACACACTCACACATCCACAACACCACAGCAAGAACCATCCACACAGACTAACTCACATACTATACAGCAAGTTTGTATTCAAGTTTGCACCAACAAAATGATGGTGAGTCACTGCTGGACTAATGAAAAATCATGATGTTAGTCGACTGTAGCCGCCAGGGACAGCAGAACAAATGGGCTGTTCTCTGCAGCCCAGTCTCTGTATTAAACCAAGGCAGGCAATGTTTTATGAATTAAAATAACTGCAAACCATCCCCATCCTACGTACGTGGAATCATTTACACTGTAATACAAACAGCAGCAAGTGAGACAAACAGCGGACACAAATGCAAACTCTTACTGCCACAGCAATTCAGATTTTAAATATTCACATAAAAAAACAGACATATTGAATATCCCATACAACAAAAACTACTAAATATACTGTGTACAACTTATTAACACTTGACACTGTCATAATAACAATATAAAGGTACTACAGAAGTTACTGAATACTTCTGACTTTTTATATTTAATTTTCTGATTCTCTCTGAAGTCTTCTCAGCATAAAATATATATATATATATATATATATATATATATATATATATATATATATATATATATATATATATATATATATATATAATATATATATATATATATATATATAACAGCTGTAAATACACACAGACATATACCAAATTATTTTTTTTTTTTTTACAAAAAGTAAATCACATTCAAACCACATACTTCATGTGTTGTTCTTGGGATGTCAGAGTTTAAAGGGTCAGCTGACTTACAGGACAGGGTCCTTACACCTGCACAGTTCCTTCAAATTACTCAATATACATTGGTATGCATACAAAAACCAAAACAAAGAAACCTACAAACCAGCGGCACTTCATGTACTAAACTATATATAATACTGTACGCTTTTTCTACCCAAGATTCTCTCACTAGAGCACAAGTTAAAAGCACAGTTGTCAAGGTGCATGCATCAAGAAGAATCTATGAACATGAAACTGGTAATTAGCATTTCACAGTAAAGATAGAAATCACTACGTACATGATGTACACTGTACACAGATGTGTGTTATAAATGTCTTTCTACAGAAGAAAGCTCAAAGCCTCTGTCCATATGCCCCAGAGTGTGGGCCATGTCTGTCTCTGCCTCTGCCCACAGCTCTGAGCTCACTGAGGGACAGGACATTGTCCACACCATCAGCTGAAACAGCACATCTTTGCAGGATGTCATTTGGACTGGACAAATATAATTTGTAACTTATAAAGATTATAGTGCATGTGCTTATGTCTAAAAGTTACTAATTAAGCTATAAAACCTCCATTCTCCTCAAAGAGGATTAATATTTGCAGGAGCCATAGTCCATCTAAAACTCAATAAATTATTTGTAAATTACATTTCTAAGCACAACTATAACTGACCATAGTAAGTAAGAACTGTCCTCCTTTGGTCAAGCTAAACATCAAACCATTGGCAGTGATTAGGTTAGGCCATGTGTTCATTACGGAGGTCAGTGATGTGTCTATGAATGTTGTAGAATTCTTGAGATCATTGCTGTGGACTTTAAGCTCTATACCACAAAGCTACACTATGTCAGCTATGCTACTGAATTACACTGGACAATGTAAAATAACATATAAGACCTACATTAAAACATGTGGTATGAATGCGTCACATTTTTGTCATTTTGTGCTGCTCATTTGTTATGAGTGTGCTTGAAAATGTCACTGTGTTGTCCCCTGCCAAAGGCGTCTTCTCCTCATTCTCCACTGGGGGCAGAGTGTCAAAAGTGAATGCCATTGGGGGCCCATCATGTCCTGCTTTTGTTCCATTAACTACAATCTGACTATGACCACTACCATTGTGGTGCTGACTTATCTCCAGATGCTTTTTGATCTTTCCTGTGTCTCCATCATTGGGCTGGGAGCTCCTCGTGTCTCTAACTGTGCCAAACCCACTCTGTATCATTGACATGGTCCGATGAGCGCCCTCTGGCCTCTGGCAGCGGTACAGCCCCCGGAAGGCTGAGCGAAACTTCTGAGACATGGCATTGTAGATGACTGGGTTGATGGCACTGTTGGCGTAGATGCAGGTTCGGCAGAAGAGCAGGAACCAGGCGTCCAAATAAGGAGTGGACACAAAGGAGTTGATCAGAACTAAAGTCCGGTAGGGCATCCACAGCAGTGCAAAGAGGATCACCACAACAGCCAGCATCTTAGTCACCTAGGAGGCAAACAGACAAAGGAAATGTTTTTGATTTTATTTCACAGTAATCAACCATGGAAGGTGGGAAGTAGCATACATAGTCACATCTTGAAGCATATTTTTTGTGTTAGGTCTAAATCCAAAATTAAAAATAGAGAGCTACACCAAAATGAAACCTATGCAGGAATTCTACCACAACAAATCAGTAGTTTGATCATTTGACAGATCTTTTCAGCTATCCAAAAGAGTTGTCACAATACTAACATTTCAAACTCAATTTCACAGCAGTGTAGAAAATCAGTGACTCATTTAATCCACTGCAGCACCACTGCATAATTATTTTTTCTCCACAGTTAAATTATGTGATACCACCATGCACTTAAATAGAAGTAGACCCATCATATGTGTAACTTGTTTCTATATTTAAATATTTGATAGAATACTTGTTTAAGATGATTTATTTATAATATATACATTTATTTAATATAAAAAATACAAAAAATAAAAAGGAGACATGATAAATAGTCAGAATTTCTTTCTTTTAAGTGTATATCCCCATTTTGGTAACTGAAGACTAAACTGTATGTACTTATAATAGCCTAGCCATACTAATGGAATCAGAGGGTACATTTACTATATTTACATAACCAGAAAATATGAGAACTAGAATCAGATTATCCAATAATTACATTTGATTATTGTTGTTTACATGCACAAGCTCTGATAATCATATGATGGACATGTGTCCATTAATTAGTAACCGTTGGATACGTATTGTACTGTTGTATTTTGAAGACAAAAGGAAAACAAATTTTAAAATAACTCTTCCCAAACTTTAACTTTTTTCTTTAACTTTTGACTTTGCCACATTGGTTTGACCTTTTTTCTTTAATTTTCCTTGTCAACGCCTGCACAATCTGAAAGAAATTAGATTACTCCCATCAGATGGAACTGTTTACATGACATTTCCATAATGTGATAACTCAGATTAAAATCAGATAATGATCAGATTTTTGGTATGCACGTACACACAGCCAGCGATACAGGGAAGTCGATGAGGTGTATGGGATTACAGAATTAGGCTATTTGTGGATTTCTTATGTGTTTATCTAATGCTGAGGTGGCTGTCCCTGGCTTAGGTTCACCTCTTTATCTTAAACGGCTTTTGGCTGTGCATTATACCTGCTATCTTTCTCTGGCCTTGCACTTAGTTTAAACCCGAGTCTTTCTGCAGAGGTGTGGACGGAGGTACGGATATAGGAGCACATAAGATGTCACTAAGCTGGAGGAGCAGGGCTGGTGTGTGGTATTACTGGGACTGATAAGACTAATCACTCAAGTCTTATAGGTCCACCACCACCGCAACCTCTATCTCTCAGCCGTTACCATGGACACCAGCAGGGGATAAAAACACACGTTTACACAAGTTATTTTGTGTTGAATGGTCCAGTATGGGTGAGGTGGTCAAGGTACAGTTTGGTTGTCTTTTGATTTTTTCCCCCCATCCTCTTCTTCACAGGCCACAGCATTAACAGTATTAAAGTCATAACTGACAATCAAAACTCCAAAATGATGCCTGATGTTTGTGTAAGACAATAGCTGGGAAGTAACTGAATATATGTACCAAAAATACATATTGTGAATACCAAATTTGAGAAACTTTATTCTGTCGTATTCAGAATAATAATCATAATGCATTAGTCTTATATAGTGCTTTTTCAGACAATCAAAGTTACTTTAAAATGTTCTGTATTATTCATTCACTCTACACTAGGTGGTGGCAATTTACTATTGTAGCCACAGCTGCCCCTGGATAGACTGATAAAAGCAAAGCTGTCAATCTGTGCCATTGGTTCTGACCACCACCAACACTCATGCACACACCACGTTCATGTAAGGCAATGTGGGTGAAGTGTCTTGCCTATGGACACAGCAACACTGGCGCCCCACTGTACATGCAGTTACTTTCCTAACTTAAAAGGAATATGATACTGGCGATACGTCATCATGCAATTTTGGCTTTGAACTGCATGACATTTCTTAGAAAAAACAAAGAAAACAAAGCTCTTGCAGTAAATACATGTGTGATTTACTTTCTCTAATTGGCCATACAGTACTGTGCAAAAGTTATAGGCAGGTGTGAAAAAATGCTAGGTATACTTGCATACAGTTTTTGAAGGAACCCGGCTGGTAGATTGTTCCAAACATCTTGAAGAGCTAACCACAGATCTTCTGTGGATGTATGCTTCCTCACATCCTTCTGTCTCTTCATGTAATCCCAGACACACTCAATGATGTTGAGCTCTGTGGGGGCCATATCATCACTTCCAGAACTTCTTGTTATACTTTACGCTTTCTCCAGGCCTTCGATGAACAAACTGCCTTCTGCTAGAGCCAAATATTTCAAATTTTGACTCATTAGTCCAGACCACCTCCTGCCATTTTTCTGCAACCCAGTGCTTATGTTTTTGTGCATACTTGAGTCACTTGGCCTTGTTTCCACATCAGAGGTATGGCTTTTTGGCTGCAACTCTTCCATGAAGACCACTTCTGGCTAGAATCCTCCAGACAGTAAATGGGTGTACCTGGGTCTAGGGGTGGGCGATATATCGATATTTTAAATATATCGAGATAGTTATTAAACTCGATATGAATTCTGACATATCGTATATATCGATATAATGCTTATATTCAATTCTAATTTCGCCGCTTCACTTGTTTGTCTTCTCTCGTCACCTCCGCGCGCCCCCGCCTCCCTGATTTTGTTCGCTCGTGTCTCCTTCAGTCGTCACTATCGCCGTGAACGCCGAAAGTTGGTGCCAGTGAAAAACTTCAAGCACCACGAACCTTTTCCACCATTTACAGACAAGAACATCAGCAGCACATCCTCATATTCCACCGAGTCGCGTCCTTTAGCCCGAAAGAAGCTAAACGAGCTGAGCTGCGTGAGAAGTGCGCTGTTTATGCAAATGAGCCATGCGCTTAAGTTTCGTTTCTGTAAAATGTAAACACACGTGCGCAAAACTGCATTAAACACATTATTATCGCAAACGGGCTGATGTGGCTCTAGAATCGTTATGCTTTATATATTGTAAAGTTTAGCAATGTAAAGTTTATATATGCAGAATTTTTTAATTAATAATCTGCTGCAGTGTCACTTGTACAATAGTGTTTGGAAACGTTGGGTTTGATCTGCAGTGGATTGTGAGATTAAACCTCAGAGCTCCTTACTGCTGGATAGGAACATGGATCTATTGAAATAAGGAACATTCTGAGCTTCTTCTGCTAAAGGAGCTCATGGTTATGATTATGGTTTGGATAACAGAGTTAATGCAAAGATGAACTTGTGTTGAATTATTTTATTTATGAATGAAAAGAAGAAAATATGTATTATTTCTTTTATTTTACAGTTAAATTATTATTTATGCAATTAGGGTTTTTTGTAATCTTAAATGTTCTTAAATGTTAAACTGTCGACCTCTTACACTTCAATTAAAAAAAAAGGACCTTGTGGAATTTGGCAGATTTGTTTTTGCAGTTTACAGTTTTAGGGGGTTATTTTTTCTTGAACATATATCGAGATATATATCGTATATTGAGATATAGCAAAATATATCGAGATATATTTTTTGATCCATATCGCCCAGCCCTACCTGGGTCCCACTGGTTTCTGCCAGTTCTGAGCTGATGGCACCGCTGGAGAGTTTCTGATTCCAAAGGCTAATAAGCTTGATGTGTCTTTCATCTGCTGCACTAAGTTTCCTTGGCCGACCACTGCGTCTAAGATACTCAGTGTTGTCCGTTTCTTTCTGCTTCTTCAAAAGAGCTTGAGCTGCACATCTTGAAACATGAGTCTGCTTTGAAAACTTTGTCTGGGAGAGACCTTGCTGATGCATTATAACTACATTGTGTCTTGTTGCTGTGCTCATTCTTGCCATGGTGTATAACCATCTTCCACAACCTCACTTTCGGAGCAGAGTTTGGCTGTTCCTCGCCCAGTTTTAAGCCTCCTACAGCGCTGTTTCTGTTTCAGTTAATGATTGTGTTCCAACCTATGTGTGACATTGATGATCATAAGCACCTGTCTGGTATAATTGTTTGATCATACACCTGACTGTGTGTACCCCTTTGTGTGAATTGATGTTGGTTTGAAGGCAAAAGGTAGCAACACCAAATATTTGATTTGATTTAGATTTTTCTTTTGTTCGCTCACTTTGCATTTTGTACATTGATAAAAACAAAAAATCTGTATTTATATTTTTGAAAGCATTCTTTGTTTACAGCATTTTTTCACACCTGCTTAAAATGTTTGCACAGTACTGTAACTGAATGCATAACAAACAGTGCAACAAAGAGCAAGCATCGTATAATTATATGTAATTATACTATACTGTAATAAAATGCAATTTGGTATAAAAGTATTCTAAGTGTTCAGAATACAGTACTCTGATTAACCCATGTAACAAAATATGTTACAAAATACATTTTAATGCAGGTTTTCAGTATTCTATAACAAATACATTCTTCCCATGACTGCTTAATTGCATATGGTTCCTTTACATTATATTTTGTAAGTAGCGGCAGACACGTGACAGCACCAGTGTCTCAAAGGCGTTTTTTGGTATAAACTTTTCAATCCTATGTTTTTCCTTACCTCTCCTAAATTTAACACATTCTACATTCTTCTCAACAGTGTCTGAGTCATTTCTCTACACTTAAGTTCAGACTGAACAGTTGCTGCTATCAGGGAGAGCAGCCACCCTGCTCATGCATAGCTCTCGACTATTTTTAGCACATATACAAGGCTGCTGTAATCATCTGATGGAGATGTCCTGTCAAGTGAGAAGTGACAGGAGCAGAGTGAGAACATCTGTGACACCCTGAGTAGCACTAACTCATTATGCAAATCCTCTACTCTTTGAGGAAGTCACTGAACACACAGGATTAGAGGAGACTATCAGACTAAGCGTGGACGAGGGGACGAGGGGGGGCAGTGGTTTCACAAATAATCAGCTGAT